CTCAAAAAGACCAAAACCATAAAAAAAAAATAAAATTTGCATTTTGCCTTTTACATTTCTCAGCTTTATTATTATTTTACTTGATTCTCCCAAGAATTTTGTGCCTTATTATTCTGTGTAGGTGAAAAAAATTTTCATGTCCACCACATCTGGTGGTTTTTCCAATGCGTTAGTTGTGGTACAGGTAGTAAGTGTCTGGCGGCTTTCCTTCACAGCCCATTGTAAGCCCCTCTCTGAACGCCAGCTGGAAGGCAGCAGGGGGTACCTGGTCGCAGATCAGATGGTCTAGAAGTGACATCACATTTAAAAGAACCCATTGAATTTTCAAAACTGTGGTTTTCACTAAAATAGGATACTGTGCTTAATCTCTTTACTATTTTAGGTTACTAATCTCACTTTAGATGTTCTGTTCCCTGCTTTTCTTGGTAATTAGAATTTCAACTTCATGTAGATCACCATGACATGTAATGTCAGAGCCTGCCAACTTGGCTTCAAGATTCTTCCAGATAATGAAAGTATTAAACCTGTCTCTTCCAGACCTTTCTAAATCTTCAATGGGGAATACTCTGTGCTTTTTGCAGGCCTTAAGTGGGGGCCTGTTACATAGTGGGGACAGATGTGCTGTGACCAATGTGCTATTTTACTTCAAGTGCACTGCCCTAGGTTACCCAGAATTCTCAGAAAAGTACAAAAGGATTAGGGTGTTGTTAAACTCACAGGGATATAGGAGAAACATGACTCCCAACCTGTTAGGTGTCAAATGTGCCAAGTACGTGGTCCCTCAACATTGAGGAATGAAGTTGCAAACCCGAGGAAGAAGTTAGGAGAGTTTTATTGGAAATAGGGAGAGAAGAATAGCTCCTGAGGCTCACCACCCAGAGGCTCTTTGTCAGGAGTAATTTATACAGCAAAGTCACAGCGTGGGTACAACACAGGTCAAACTACACTCAACCTACTGGAGTACAAGTATAGCTGCTTAGCTAACACTGATCCAATAGGGAAACAAGGCATGCAGCAAGAGTACTTGGAAAGAACAGTGGCATTTTAGGGAAGGGATAGGTCCAGATGCTCTGGTCACTCACCTCTGCGAATGATTCCTATCTGGACTTGGTGGATCATGTGGAACTAATTACAATATGACCTCAAGTAACTGTTTATCCCTGGCCATTGCAGCCTTTTTTTTTTTTTTTTCTTTTTGAGACAGGGTCTCGCTATGCAGTTCAGGCCGGACTTGAGCTCACTTTGTAGCCCAGGCTGGTCTCAAACTCACAATGATCCCCCTGCCTCAGCCTTCTGAGTGCTGGGATTACAGGCGTGTGCCACCATGCCCAGCTCGTACCATTATTATAAACAGCTAAGTTAAGTAGAAATATTGTGGGAAGTCAGATGGGGCTGGGCCCCTCAAAAGGTCAATGCAGAAGACAGCTGTGGCAGGAGGCCCATTGACTGAAGACCAGAAAAAGTACTCACCCATATACTTCCCTTAGGGATGAACAGCAGTGACTGATATTCTGAACAGACATCAGTCACCTTGCGGTGGAGGCCAAAACCTCCTTAACCTACCCCTTCCAGGACAAGTCCTTGTCCATCCCATGTGTGCTTACTGTGTGACTTGCTGCCCCATTTGATCCCCATTTAATCAAAAACTACCCAAGTGAGTATTCTTGTAATCTTACTGGTTCACCATAGTTTTGTCCCACCTCACATCTATCCAGTGATTTTTCCATTGGATCAATATTGTGTTTTGTTTTGTTTTGTTTTGTTTTCTCTGGTACCGGGAACCGAACTCACGACCTTGCGCTTGCCAGGCAGGCACTTTGCCGCTGAGCTAAATCCCCAGCCCCCTGTTTTTTTGGATCAATATTGTTATAGGCAGCTAAGTTAGATAGAAATATTATAGGCAGTCAGACAGGGCCAGGCCCTCAAAGGAGCCAGTATGGAAGACAAGATACCTTACAAATGGAGAGATGGTACTTGCTTCGGGACAGATCTCAAAACTAAAGATTAAACAAACACACCCACTTACTTCCCAAGGGATGGACCTCAGGGATTGATATTCTAAATAGGTAGCGATCCCCTTGAAGAGTCCCTGACCCCAACCCCTTACTGGAAAAGCCCCTGTTCTATATTCATGCCTGCTTGCTGTGACTCACTTCCCCATTTGATCCCAATTTAATCAATTTTACCTGAACAATTATTGGCTGACCATAGTTTTGTCCATTTTCCCTTACCTTGGACCTGCCTCACCTTGTGGTTTTGCTCTATAAAAGTCCCTAAAAAAGACAGAGTTAGGTAACCCACTCGGGCCCCCCTTCTGTCCTTCTCTTGGACAGAAGCTTTCTTTTCTTTCCCTCAATAAACATATTCTGCTGTTAACCTCCGTTGTTCCTAAAATTCATTCTTCGATTTTAGAGAACACGAACTCATCCTTGATATTATTCAGGTTGGGAGTTTTTATTTTCCTGTATCACTTACAGTTTCTACCAGCTCCCAACAGCAACTCTACTCCCAATAGCCTCTCTCTGCTTCTCCAGTTCTGCTTTTTTTTTTTTTTTTTTTTTTTTGGTACCAGGAATCGAACTCACGACCTTGCGCTTGCCAGGCAGGCACTATGCCGCTAAGCTATATCCCCAGCCCCCAGTTCTGCCTCTTATGCTGCTGGCAACAGTCCACAGGTGGGCCTCCCACACCCAGCACCATATTTACTCAGTTTAGATAGGGGTTATAAGTTGACCACTAGTTGTCAGTCCAGTACAGTATGTGAGTGCTACACGCTCCCTGGGTGGGGGTAGCCTGCTTACAATATAAGGGAGGAAAACAGGCTTGCTCTTCTCTGCCATTCCTCCCTTATGCTCTTGTTGCTTTGTTGTTTTCTGCCACCATGAACATTTGCCCTTTGCCATGTGGCACTCTGCCTCAAGCCAGCTGGGTATGGACTGAAACCTCCACAGACTGTGAGCTAAATAAAACTTTCCTTCCTTGATTTTGGGCACTGGGTATTTTGTCTCAGCAATTAGAGAAAAGTAAGCAAGACACCATCCTTCTGCCTCAGCCTTCCTAGTGTTGGAATTACAGGTGTGCACTTAACACCCGGTCTTTTTTAGGTTTTTGTAAGCAAGTACACAGCTGATGTGAAAATGATGTTTATTCTAAACACATAGTACCTATTAAGAATTTAGGCTAGGCTTGGTGGCGGATGCCTGTAATCCCAGCATGCAGGAGGCTAGGCAGGGGGATTGTTGTGAGTTCGAGGCCAGCCTGAACTGCATAGTGAGACCCTGTCTCAAAAAAAAAACACAAAAAACAAAAGAATTTAACTTTATTGATATTTTATGTTTAACTACACAGTGTATAATAACCTCCTGACAAAACAACAAGACCAGCAAGATGTCAAGTCGTATAAGGTCAGGAAGCAAAACACATGTGCTGGCAGTGTAAACAATACATGTATATGGAATGTGCTATTGTCACGTGTGAAGACTGCCTTAGGTGTGAAGTAAAGATTAATTGGTTTTTCTTTTTTTTTGAAACAAGGTCTCGCTATGCAGTTCAGGCTGGCCTTGAGCTTACTTTGTAGCCCAGGCTGGCCTCAAACTTGCAACGATCCTCCTGCCTCAGCCTCAGAGTGCTGGGATTACAGGTGTGTGCCACCAAGCCTGGCTTTATTTTTGTTGTAAGTTCTATTGGTATTTTCACTGTAGTTCAGATAGAAATTTACTTTTTTTTTTTTTTTTTGGTCTTTTTGAAACTGTGTCTTGCTATATAGTTCAGACTGGGCTTGAACTCACTTTGTAGCCCAGGCTAGCCTTGAATTCACAGTGATCCTCCTGTCTCAGCCTCCCGGATTACAGGTGTGTGCCACCACGCCCAGCTTCTGTTATTTTTCAGACTTTGTACACCAAAAAACAATTCATATTCAAAATTTTGGTGCTTTTTAATAAATTCAATAAGTAATAAAAATTCAATGCTTTATTTTTTGATATTGTTTCCTGTTCAGTACTCATTGTTTAATAAAACTCATAAAATTAAAAATTCATCAATAGAAATATTTTAAAGAATAATTATGGGTATTATACACCCATAATAATGTGTCTTTATGACAAAATTGGCATGATTCCCCGCAGGCTACGAGTCCTTTGGGATTTTTGCCTACAAAGAACCTAGATCATTTCCTTTTTTTTTTTTGTTACCGGGAATTGAACTCAGGACCTTGCGCTTGCCAGGCAGGCACTTGTGCTGCTGAGCTATATCCCTGGCGATGTCCTGATTTATGCTTATTCTCCTGCCAAATTTCTGCTTGTCCTTGTCTTTATTTTATTTTATTTTATTTTATTTTATTTCATTTTACTTTTTGTCTTTTTGAGACAGGGCCTTGCTACGCAGTTCAGGCTGGCCTTGAGCTCACTTTGTAGCCCAGGCTGGTCTCGAACTCGCAATGATCCTCCTGCCTTAGCCTCCCCAGTGCTGGAATTACAGGCGTTGTCCATCACACCCGGCATTGTCCTTGTCTTTAATTTGCTGCATTTCCTTGATATACAAGCTCAAAGATGACATCTGAGTAATAAGAAGCATCTTCACTGTGCTCTTTCAAACCATAGCGTCCCCACTCTACGCTGTCACTTATTACATAATTTGCCCCTGTCCTGAGGGGCTGTGTCCTATCTTAGCCTTGATGAGCGGCTGCAATTGGAGGGTGACACCATCAGCCATGGTCTATAGGAGATACGTGTCCTTGGTGTTAGGGCAGCTGCGCAGTCACACAAAATAGCAAGGGCTGCTTGCTTGTTTAGCACAACACCCTTGTTACGGAACAGTACCTCGCACGCGTTATAATGGACGGGGAAGGGCCTGTCTCAACTCAAGGTCCGCTATCCAATGGACGTGCATGGACCTCTTCTGGGGAATGAGACCCGAGCATTCGTTTGATCGTGTCAACGAAGAAAAGTACTGGCCGACTGAAGCCATCCCATAGTGCCGTGCCCTACAGCGCTCCTCCGTCACGCCCAGAACTTCGGGGAAGGTGCGGGGGAGCCGAGCCGGAAGCGGACCTGGCCCTTGCGGAAGTGACGCACTTTCCGCGCGCCGGGCTGTCTCCCGCAAACACGTGGTTTCGTTCGGCCACCCGTGTTCCTGTGGAGCCTGGGCTCAGGCTGTCACCCGGCGCAATGGGCAAGAAGGGTAAGGAGAAGAAGAAGGGCCGCGGTGCGGAGAAAACGGCCGCTAAGATGGAGAAGAAGATGTCCAAGCGCTCGCGGAAGGAGGAGGTGAGCGGGACCCGGGCGCGACGGGACGGGTCCGACAAGGGGAGTGCGCGGCAGGGCGGCCTCCGGCCCGGCCGTCCTCGTCCCCGTCCGCGCGGCCAGCCTCCCCCTGCTCCGCACGTGCCTGGCCGCGCTCGCCTCGGCCCCACGACCCCTTCGGAGAGCGCCTCGTTGTCGCGCGGGCTTTTCCCTGTGCTGGATGCTGGGGCTGAGTCTCGGCGCCGCGGCGGGGTGTGCGGGTGCGGCTCAGGAAAAGGCCCTTCCCGAGCCTCGGTCCGAAGAGGCCAGGGAAGTCTCCCAGCCTCCCTGCGGAGGGAGCCACCGGAACAGTGGTTGGTGACCTCCGCTGTTGCGTCTTCGTTTCGTTGTCCGCTTGCCTCGCTCCAGACCTGCAGATCTGCCGGGGGTCATGGCTGACCTGGGAGTGGGGTGCGGTGCTTTCTGTGGGGCCGCTCGCTGCTCACAGCCTCCCTCAGCCAGAGCTCATGGTTTGCAGTGCGCTGGACGCCGCGGTCTGACCCTTTGTGTTCACGACAGTGGGAGTGAAGTCGAGTTGCCATTCCCACTGCACGGAGAGGAAGGCGGAGACTAACAGGTCGCAGCGTTCAGAGTCACACAGCCGTGATGCCGCGTGCAGTTGGGTCTAACCAGATGGCCCTAACGCGGAGCTCTTGGCCACGTTGCTCTGCCCACTCTTTTCCTAGTCTCGTCTGTCCCCTTCCTTGTCACTCATCTGTCCCCTTCCTTAGCTGTCAAATAATGGGGTTGGACTTTTCTTTTGAAGTCTTTGAACTCACAATAGGCTCTAAGCGTCTAAGGTTCTTGACCAGTTAAGGGCACAGACTCTGCAGCAAGACTCTGAGATTGAACCTGCCCCCACCGTGAGCAACTGAGGCGGTGGCCTCAGAGGAGCAGGTCCTGCCTCGTGGCTGTTGGTGCAGGAAGTCAGTTCAGCTGCGTGGCATCTTTAGAACAGAGCTTGGCACAAACAAGGCGCTCAGCACCTAAATGTGAACTGTCATTTGTATTTATCCTCGAAACTTCCTGTAGGGCCTGGTCCTTAGAGTCTGAACAGTGGCTTCCTCCAACAAAGAGAGTGAGTCTGGCCTGACATGCTGCACACTGTCTCGATTCATTCTCAAAAATACACCTTTAGCTTCACTAGTGCTCTGATTAGTGCCCCCGCCCCCATGTTTTGAGACAGTGTGTCATTATGTAGCCCAGGCTGGCCCTGAGGGGATCCTCCTACTTCAGCCTCACACATGCTGAGATTACAGGCATGCACCACTAGGACTGACTTCTCTTTCTTCCAAGTCAGCTGTGTCACATAACACAGCCTAATCTTTGGAGTAATAGTCATCCTTTCAGAACCCTGGGGATTATTGGGAAGTACAAGAAATCTTTTCTTTTTTTTTTTTTTGAGACTGGATCTTGCTATGTAATCCAAGCTGGCTTGAACTCATTATGTAGCCCAGGTTGGCCTCAAAGTCAGGGTTTTCTGCCTCAGCCTCACATGTGCTGGAACTACAGCCAGGCACCGCCGTGCCTGATAGGAAGCACAAGGAATCTTTTTTCTTTTTTTTTTTTTTGATACCCAGAAGCAAACTCAGGACCTTGTGCTTGTCAGGCAGGCGCTGTGCTGCTGAGCTCCATCCCTGGCCTAGCACAAGGCATCTTGTCAGCTGGGAATCTTGCTCCCACAGAATCCCCTGGTTGACAGCTTCTCTCTGTCCAATCCTCTGGCCAACTCCAGTACACTGCTTCAGCCACACCACATTTATCCTGTTTGTCTCAAATGTTCCAATTCTTTCTTAGGGTCTTTGTTTCTGCCCCAATCACACTCCTTGTGACTAGTTTCTTTTTCAGACTTTTTTTTTGTACCAGGAATCAAACTCACGACCTCACGCTTGCCAGATAGGCACTGCGATGCTGAGCTATATCCCTGGCCCTCTTGTGATTGGTTTGTTTTTATCTTTCAACTAATTGTCACCTCAAAGAGGCTGTTACCCACTAGGCTATATGTACCATGCAGGCCCTGTGGTTCTCTGCCTTCCTCCTCGTGACTGAGGCTTCCCCAAGTCAAGATGACCACTTTAGTACAGTAGAGCAAAGTGTTCTTGGTGCACAGGCATTGTAGTCTGGTGAGATTGGTCAGTGTGGAAGGCACGGGAGGCGGCTGGGGTAACCAGCAGGAAGTGGAAGAGGTGAGAGTCCAGGGTGCTGGGCCTGTCCTAGTGAGTGAGGGCCGGCACTCCCCTACCCCTCTGCTTTCACCATCTGTGTGGAGGTGCCAACTGCGCCTGCCCCAACAAGAGACACAGTGGGACTCCTTGTCCTGTGCCAGTGGGGTAACTGCAGGGGTGGTCTGGTGGGTGGCAGTGCCAGCTGGGAGCCAGCACCGGTACAGTTGCTTTCCTTCCCTCTGCTCCTCACGCTAGCCCACTCTGTCCTGCTCCTCATCCTGCAGCAGTCCCTCTTCCAGGCCTTTCTGGGCAGTTTCTTGAGTAATAGGTCTGAGTATGCTGTGCAGAGTGCTGTGTGTTAGGATTGCTGGTCCATGGGGCGGCCATCACGTCTACCACACTGCTGTGTGCTTTCCTGAGCATATCCCCTGGGGAGCCACTTTGGATGCCCGTGTGCCCATTCCTAGGAGAGTGGATGCTACAGCGCAGCAGTTGCAACTAAAGACTCGGAAAAACCATCTCCACAAGGAGGGAGACACAGAGTGGCTATAGTCAGGTTCAGTGCATTTCAGACTCAGCAAGGCACGTTAGGATTGCAGATAAGACTGGATCTCAGTCTGGTCGGTTGACACAGGAGGAAAGCATACCACGCTTTTGCCTCTGTGGCAGGTTTAAGAGAGTCTCACCTAGGGCTGCTTGTGCCCCTAGGATGACCTGGAAGCCCTCATTGCCCATTTCCAAACGCTGGATGCCAGAAAAACAAAGATCACGGAGACCCCGTGCTCCCCGCCATCTGCAAGGTAAGCAGACTGACTTGTTTGCCTCGTGATTGTGACCATTTCCTTTCCTTTGTAAATTGGAAAGCTGCTTTCCGTCAGCACCATGTTTTCCTCAACGACTCAGCCCTTGGGACATTTTCCTGTCTGACACCTGCTGTGTGGCCCCCTTGCCCTGAAGAGGTGGGCTGAGGCTGTCGGCTTGGCTATCCTGCAGTGGCATGGAGGTGAAGTTTCCAAGCAGGCTGCCTCCCTAGGGATCTGCCTGGGTGTGAGTGCTCTGACCAGCCACAACTTGCGGATAAAAGTGTGTCCTGACAAGCTTTGCTTTGGTTCTGGGGTATCTTAAAAGTGCACATCCCAGGTGAAAAATGGCAAAGTCACCACATGTTGTGGCTGGGTACCTGGAGCGGTACCTTTGCAGATCCCCAGGAGAGGCAGACATCAATTCAGAGGCGGGCAGCAGCAAGAAAGAGCAGTTGTGCTTGTATTGTTTACTGCTTGTGTATGCTGTTATCACCTATTTACATTCTTCTCTGCTGGGCTAAGCAGTGCATGCATGGTTTACTGCAGCTAAGCCAAGTTTACATAAACATATCCTGGTGTGTGCCTGCACTAGACAGTGGGTGTTCATCCTTAATGGATTCATGTTGTGAATCCACTCCCTTCAGGGCTTGGACTTGTTCTGCCTTCTCAGGTCCTCAGACGTCCCAGGACCTGAAGGAAGCCACAGTGTCCCCCACAGCATAGGATTGTGCTGTGTTTACTCCTAATGCTTCTAAATTCTCAGATGAAAGGTCTATTAAACATAAATTTTTCTGGGCCTTGTACCGCACACTGAGCCCCAACTGAGTCACTTAGGAAGACACTGTTTCAACATAAAAAATAAATAAATGAGCTGGGAATGTAGCTCATGTGAAAGGCCTGGGTTCAATCCCCAGTACACGCATTACATAGATACATATATCAGTTTTTTGTGAACCATTTTAAATATATCTGTTATGAAAAATAGCTCAAGTTCTTGTAGGATTTCACACACCTGTGGGACTCATGAAAGGAGCAGGCTTTGGTCTCCATGTGGCTTCTGTCCCCAGCTTCTGAGTTCTAGTTATTACCTAATTTGGTTCAGGGTCTTGCAGCTCTTCTGTTTGCTCTTTGCTCTTTGCTTTTGGACCAGAGACACACTGAATATGTCACACTAGAAACCTGGGAAAGATGCAGTGCCCTCATAAACAGATACAGTATCATTCAGGGCAGAAAACATGTAAGCCATACAGGTGTCTGGGCCCATTTTGGGTAGTTATGAAATTGTACTTTGTTTACTTCAGAATAAAGTTAGACTTCTTAGCAGCATTTCTCAGTGCCTCTGTCACAGCCTTCATTGCACCCTTTCAGGGAAGCCTCGTCATTTTCTGCCTTCACGTCAGTCAGTGTGGTGCAGATGATGGTGCCAGAATCCCTCTGACCTCACAGGTGGGCGTTAGTCATCACCTGTGCCCAGGTTCAAGAAGCACACAGTGATGAGCCCCACAGCAGGATGTGTGGTGTTGCAGCACCCCAAGGTGGAAGGCCTTCCTCCTCTTTCTTTAATAAATTCTACTAGGAATTGGGTTTCATTTTTCCCAGTGGTTGGCCTGGTATTTTTGGGTGAAACATGATTTGTACATGGCACGTGGACATTTGTATTTGAATTGAAGCAAACCTGAGATCCTGAAGGCTTCATGTGTATACCAGCACTCATGAGGAAAACCACTGAGTGTGGAGTATTGTCGTTTTTTTTTTTTTTTTTTTTTTTCTTTTTGGTGATGTGTCAGAACTTTTTCCAAAGTAATGTTTCCGTAACAGTCTGGTTTAACATTGAGCTATGGTTTAATATGTGAGTGGTTCCCGGGCCAGCATAGAGTATTTGCTGTTTGCAGGCAGCTGTTACTGAAGAGAGATAGGCTAAGACCTTGCTGGGTCACGTTAGTAACTTCTGCCATCCTCCTTCTGGGTGTGTTACTTAAAAACCCTTGAATTACAAGTTCTTTTTTTTTTTTTTTGTCTTTTTGAGGCAGGGTCTCACTATGCAGTTCAGGCTGGCCTTGAGCTCACTTTGTAGCCCAGGCTGGTCTCGAACTCGCGACAATCCTCCTGCCTCAGACTCCCAAGTGCCGGGATTATAGGTGTGCGCCACCACGCCTGGCGAATTACAAGTTCTTGAAGACGCAGGTCCCCGAGCACCAGCACAGTTGTGGTCTCAGGATACATGAAGACTGGGCACTCGGTTCTGCATCTCACTGCCTGCACCTCCATTGATGTCTGGGGAGGGTGGGGCCTTTGGTGGGCCTGATGTGGATTCTTCTGTTGTGATGTTGGGTACTTTTCTACAGAATATGAATGGAGAGTCAGTGAAGAAAATTGGGGTATCAAAGGAACTTGGGAAGTACTTTATAAAAGAGCACTTTTATTGTGGTTACACATGTAAAACAAGGTGGGGCCATGCAGTGTTGTATATGTGGACCAGTGGCTTCCACTTGGTCTGTTTCCCAGATCATCTGCATTGCAGCAGGGATCAGAACTGCCTTCCTTCTTGGGGCTGAGCAGTTGATCCATGTTGTGAATCCACTCCCTTCAGGGCTTGGACTTGTTCTGCCTTTGGCCACTGTGAGTCCTGCTGCTGTGAGTGTTGCTGTTGGGCATCTGTTTGTGTCTGCACCTAGAAGTAGAGCCATTGACTCACAGTCATTCTGGTCACTGAGTGTTCTGAGCACCTGCCAAGCTGTTTGCCATATCAGCTGCACTGTTTCCTACTGGACTTCACTGCCACGTCTGTCAGCCCGTAGGATGTTCCTGTACACAGCCAGGTGTAGTGGTGCATGCCTGTGATACCAGCACTTGAGAGGCTGAGGCAGGTGGATTGGTGCGAGTTGTAGGCCAACCTGGGCTACATAGTGAGTTTGAGGCCAGCCTGAACTACCCAAGAGAAATCCCCAAGAGAAAATAGAGGCTTCAGATTTCCCAGATTACTTGTTCTTGAAACCTGTTTATTTTTTGGGAAGCTGTCTTAGGATGAGAGGCGTGGACACACTGTGGACCCCTGCCAAGCGTTCTGATGGCAGGGCACTTTACAGTGATGGCCTCTTGTAGTCTCTGCATCTTTTCCAACTTCCTACTGAAATAGTCAGAATATGTGTGTTTTGACTTTTGTCCTAGCATGTAAAGTATGAAGTTAGCAACATTTTCTAGATGGGGGCATCTGGCACATTGTTGAAATCCTTCTCAGACCAGACCTTGGAGGACAGTTTTGACTGTAATATGAGCAACCAGAACCCAGAAATAGGCCGGGTGTGGAGATGTGGCCTAGAAGTCAGGTCTAGGCTTCTTTCTGCTTGTGATGTTGTCGACCGGCTCTGAATGAGGCAGCCCAGACCCGGGCTGTCTGTGGAGTAGGAAGCTGGCACTGGGCTGGTGACCAGCAGGTTGCGTCCAGGGTGGTGCTGTGCTTCTGTCCTGAGGCCCAGGCCCCCTTGCACAGGGCTAGGGAAGCCTGGGCTCTGGTGAAAGACGTGCAGGTGGAAGGTGCCTGGATCTCAGCCTAGCAGCACAGGGTGGAACTGTGGTCATGTGCTGTTTATGTCTCTTGCAGGTTGAATGCCTCCCTCTCCGCACATCCTGAGAAAGATGAGTTAATCCTTTTCGGAGGTGAATATTTCAATGGCCAAAAAGTAAAGTATATATTTTTTTCTTTTCCTCCCAACTTTTCAGGGTGTCATTGGAGAAAAATTCAAGTCACAATATAAATTCTCATTGGTCCTTTCACTCCTCCCCTCTTGTGTATCCTACCTCCTGAGTCTGAGCATTAGGCCTGATGTAGGGCATCCTTGTGTGTCACCAGGACCCCTTGAGGGCTAAGTGACTGCTTACCTTGGATCTGCAGAGTCCTTGTCCCTTGGGACTCAGCTGCCCCTGCAGTCACCCCTAGTCATGCCTGTTGGAGGTGGACCTGTGCCCTGGTTCTCCTCATGGTAACTCTTCACAGGCACAGTTTTCAAAGACGTCTCATCTTGGGGTGCTGGCATGGGCCCCAGGGCATTGTGCATGATAGGCAAGTGCTGTCCCCTGAGCCATGCTTCGAGTTGTCAGGGTTATTTTAGAGACAGAAACTGCTGAGGAATTGTGGGGCTAAGGTTTTTTTCAGCAAGCCTGAAAGCCCTGGGGCCTTTTTCTTTGTGCCGTGGTCTGTGACTTAGTGGAGTTTCTTCTTACAAACCCTTGGCCTTATGATGGTGGGAAAGGGTCCCTACCCAACCACTTTGGTTTTACCTTTGAAACAGCGTTCACTACATGATGTGAGAGGTCCCACTTTATCGTAAGGTGCACTGTGCACTGATTGGTTTTGCCAAGCTAGAGGCTCATGTCCATGTTTTAAGGCTGGCTTGGCTAAGCCATGAGGGTCCGGAGGTTGGTTCTACGAAATTCATTTTCAGCTTATGAGGGATCCGTTGGGACTTAACCCTGTGGCATGTTGAAGAGCATCTGTCTTGTCACTACAGAGGATCTTGGGACCTGCACGCGGTCATCTTGCTTTGGTCGGAGGCACATTGCTCTAGGAGACAAGTTTCCCGGAGAATTCCAGCGACTGCCAGCATCCTCGCCACTTCCTGTCACTTGCCTAGCATGTCCTTCATGACAGTGAAGTTCCTTTTCCTTCCTGCAGACTTTTTTGTATAACGAGCTCTACATCTACAATATCAGGAAGGATGCCTGGACAAAAGTCGACATCCCTGGCCCTCCGCCAAGGCGCTGTGCTCATCAGGTAATGTCAGTGCTGACTCTCAGCCTTCGTTCTCCTTCCCGTGTCTGGGTCTGGTAGCCTTGTCAGTCTGTGAATGACAGGCAGTCTCTTGGAAAGAGGCTGGGCCTCCCAGACTGTCCTGGGTCTACTGTCTTCTTATCTAAGCTACTTCCATATCTGTTGCTTCACCTGCTCCCAGGCCCTGTCAAAGTACCTCATGTCATGCGTGGTGTGTGAGAACCACTTGGCAGTGCTTTCTTTCCATTTGAGAGAGAGGACCCCACAGTCCCTCAGTCTGGACTGGGTGGTGAACAGGAGAGGGCAGATGCTCAGAGAGGGGCGAGTGGTGGAAGGAAAGTAATTACTTTAGAATGAAACCAGGCATAAGGAAGAAGTAGCACAGAGTGAACAGGAGGGTCGCTGTTTTTGCTGACTAGGAGAACGTTTCCGGAGCTCCTGTAGGCCTCACAGGGAGCAGCTCCTAGACTTGGGGTCCCCTAAGCCCTGTAAGACTACACTGTGTCCTTATTCATTGCTGCACCCCACCCTTAGCCCAGCTGGGTGTACTCATTTCCCTGGAGGGACAGAGGGTGTGTGCTTACAACCCACACTTCTGCTTGTGTGTGGAGGGTGCAGGAAACGGCCTTGGATGAGGCAGAGTGGGTGGTGCACTAAGAGGGGGAAAGCAGAGGGTGTGAGTGCGTGGCCCTGCATTCACTGGATGGCTGGTGTCCCCCAAATGACAGTGGAACCCACATGAAACTGATTTTCTCACAAAGAGTAAAAAAGAAAGTACATTTCAGGTGGTGAAAAATGACAGTCGTGTTCTCACTGTGCTCAGCACGTTGGTGAACGGTGAGTGGTTATAGAGAAGGGTTACTATGCACACCAGTTTATTCACCAGCTGTGGTGTCCGGCTGAGCACGGACATGTTAGCTGCGGCTGAGGCAAAGCTGATTCCCATCTGAGTAGGCCCTGTTGGAGTCCTTCCGAGTCCATGCTTTGGGTGTCCTGTGTGCCAGGCCCCATTCTGGGTGCTGAGGGCACAGCAGCAGGAGACACTTGCTCTTCCCAGCAGGTGTTTTGTGCCTTGCTGGGTCCTGAAGGTGTCATATTTTCCCTCATGGAAGCCAAGGCCGATGGGAGATACTATTACTAGTGTCTGTATTTTCTGTTAGACCCTACTGGTTGGGAGGAGTGTTGTGAACTTACAGCCTTCAGTATATTCAGGTTCAAACATGTGAACCCAAACAAACACCTGGGAAGCACACAGCCTCTGAGCTAGCAGGAAGTAGGGACTGGGGAGGATGGCCTTATGGCCCTATGGGTGCTGCACTGCGCACCTGAGCGCATGGCCATGTTTTGCCTCCTTCACCCCAGGAGAATGGGAGTTATCAGCCAGGTTAAAGGGTTACTTCCACATCACTACCTGAATGTCTGCTGTATACATACGAAAAGGGTGGTTGGTGTTTTTATTTCCAACCTATTATTTAAATGGTCACACATATCAGAGCAGTGAGTATAAACTTCAGTAAGCTGGATGGTGCACAGAGGGTGAGTATACTGAGGGGGACGCTACACCTTGCTAAAGGCGAATGAATTGTGTGTTTTGATAGCAGTATGACTTCCTTGGTGTCCTTTCAATGCTTGCATAAAAACACATTTCCATAGAAAATCATGGACACCATGTTTTAGTATATGTGCTGCTGAAGCGAGGACATGGACAAGATATTTTGTTTTACATATTGTCAGTGGCTCCAGAAGACGTACTGCTTATCAGATGTGCAGGGCACATGCTGCCTTTGTATTAGAGAAAGAAATTCATTTTCTTTAAAACACATGGCAAGGGGGCTGGGGATTTAGCTCAGCGGCAAAGCACCTGCCTGGCAAGCGCAAGGTCCTGAGTTCGATTCCTGGTACCAGAAGAAAAGACCAAAAAAAAAAAAAAAGAAAGAAAAACAGATGGCAAGTAAAGAGATTTTCTTTATTATATCCACTGTTTCATTATTCTTCTGTTTGAGAGAGGGTCTCGCTGTGCAGTTCAGGCTGGCCTTGAGCTCACTTCGTAGCTCAGGCTGGTCTCAAACTCGCAATGATCCTCCTGCTTCACCCTCCTGGGTGCTGGGATTACAGGCCTGTGCCACCACGCCTGGCTTAGTGTAGACATTTAATAAAATCTGCTGTTAGCTTCTATTATAACTAATGTTTACCTTTGAAAGACCTGTCCATTTTAATGGGATGTAGCAGTGTCTAAATGTAGATGGAAGTCCACATTGCTATCTAGCACCACACGGAAGTGTTTCAGAATTTGACCGAGGAGGGGATAACCAGGAGGGTTTCTCCAGCAGTCTTCCTCTTGGAGGCAGGAGGGGATGATGGCCGAGTGGGGTTCTTGCCTCTTGAGTGGGCAGTGCTGTTGCTTCTGGTCACTCTGGAACCTCTTGGGCTGACTTTCACCTTTCTTTCAGGCAGTGGTGGTGCCTCAGGGTGGCGGACAGCTGTGGGTCTTTGGAGGGGAGTTTGCTTCCCCCGATGGAGAGCAGTTCTACCACTACAAGGATCTCTGGGTCCTGCATTTAGCCACCAAGACCTGGGAGCAAATCAGGTAAGTTGCTGGACAGGGGCCTAGTGACTGGACCTGGGCAGTGGCAGGAGGGACTCAGGGAGACCTGGGCTGGGAGAGCTCTGACTGCCAGGCTTCATTAAAGGCATTGTCAGGACTGGCTGGAACCAGCAGTGCCTTCAGAGTTGTTTCGTATTCCTTGCTGTCAGCATGTCATTGTCATGTGTGCAGCTCCTCTAATGGGCTGGCAGTTTGTCCCTGAAAGGCTGCTCTGGGCGTCAGGCCTGCTTAAAGGTAGGCATCTCCTGAGAGCTGTGCTGCCTAGTAGAGTGGAGTGCTTTCTGTGTCATGTGGGTGCAGAGATGTGGAGCCGGGCAGAGTGGGACAGGAGTTGCCTCACACTTCTCGTGGAGCTGGGACAGCCGCTCCTGGTGCCTGATCACCTGTCAGGATCCATGCTGTCCATAGTGCCTGAGCAGGCGGAAGCTGTGCGCCTGTTTGTCGGGACATAGACAGGACCTTTGCATGTTAAGAGTGCAGCCTGGTGGAGGAAGGGCTTGAAGGAGATTTGCCAGCTTCCTTTTCCTTCAGTGCAGTGGTCTCACCAGGGCTGTGCTAGCCACAGTCCCAGGGCTAGTAAAGCCATAAACCAGAAGTCTCCTTGCTGAGGTGGGACAGTTACGGTGTAGAGCATTTTCTAGTCCCAGCACTTTTCACCAGGAGGGGAGCGGCTCTTCTAGAGAATGTATTCAGTTGCTCAACAGTGAGTCTTCTAGGGTGTCATGACCTGCCCCAGTTGACTTTAGGCTATAGCGGCACACCCGTCAGATAAAGAACCTGCCAGGCTTGGAGAGTTGCACTGGGCCACTCTGCTGCGGTGCCAGCAGTCCTGATCCAGATCGGACCAGGGGCACCGTGGTGTGTGGGTTCCTGGGTTCCTGAGTTCTGCATTTCTCTTTCTCATCCTTGTGTTGGGAGAGATCTTTACTTTGGTAGGCATAACTACCAGGAAATAATAGTCATATTAAAAATGACTGCTATGTGTGTTTTGAAACTCAATCCTTTACCCCATAATTTAAATGTATTTAGGCCCTAAGCACATCATCTTTGTCCCTTTTGCTTTGCTTGAATTATTTCTTTCAAAACCCAGTTACTACTTTCTTGCTTGGAAGATCCTTTTGGGCAGATTCAGTCTTTGTATTTTCATGTATTTTATCATCTCCAGCAGCTTTCTCCATAACCGACTGGCGAGGCACAGAGAATTGGCTCCATGAGAAGTTTCATGCTGCCTTAGCTTCTCCCAGGCCTATGCCGGCTGTGCGCTTCTGTGCAGCCTCCCGCAGTGGAACACACAGGCACTTGAGGCATGAGAGCTTTCTCCTGGCCTCAGGATTTTGTGGTTCTATAGCATGTGTCCAAAGTGTCTCTTCCAGAACACATGGTCTGTTGAGCCGTGGTCACTTGGGCAGAGTGTCCCTGTGTACCTTCTCCAGTGGCCACAGAAGATAACTCTCTCAGCTCAGTGCGTAACTCCAATTTGTGGCCTGGAATGTGGGCAAATTGCACTCCTAGGACTTTGCAGGCAGCTGGCCAGACACATTCATGATGGGGCTGGCTGTACTTTGTGTCTCGTTGCTGGGTGGCTTGAACCACTGGTGGTATGTGCATGATTGTCTCATGCGTGATTATATTATCAGCCCTAGTGGTACAAGTCGCCCAGAGGGACAGTTATGCATGTACCACTGGTGGTTTAAGATGTTGGGAGCATGTTGAGTTAGTTGTTGCTAATAAGTATATACCTCATTTCTTAAATTCTTGCTTATTGTCATTAAAATGTGAGTTTTTATTTATTTATTTTTTTGTTGTCATCTTTTTTTTTTTTTTTAAGATAGGGTTTTGCTATTCAGTTCAGGCTGTCTTTGAACTCACTTTGTAGCCCAGGCTGGCCTCGAACTCATAGTGATCCTCCTGCCTTAGTCTCCTGAGAGCCAGGATTACAGGTGTATGCCACCATGCCTGGCTTGAGAATTTTTAAAAAGTATTTTGTAGAAGCTCATTAAAGGCATTTTTCCTGAAGGTCATATTGCAGATCTGAAGTTTAACTGCCATTTCTTTAGTTTTTATCACTTTGTTTTTTGAGACAGCTTCTTGGTATGTTGCCCAGGCTGGCCTTGAACTTGTGATCCTCTTGCCTCAACTTTCCAAGTGCTGAGACTGCAGAAATGGGCCACCACACCAGCTAATTGGTGTTCTTTTTCTTTCTTTTGGAGACAGGGTCTTGCTGTGTAGCCCAGGCTGGCCTTGAACTTGATGGGATCCTCCTAACTAGTCTGGAATTACAGATGTGTGCCACCATGACCAATTTAATTGCCATTCGTAACTTAGTGTCTGTCTGCAGATGAGTGATAGGGCAGGAAGGTGATTATTCATGTGTTTCCTTTTTTTCTGCTTGTCTAAAACACTGTATGTGGCGCCTAAGTGATGCTTTCTGGCTCCACCTGGCCTAAGTGGCCCTCAACAGAGGGGACTGTGGGTGAGAAAGGCCTGGTGGAGTGTGCATACTCTGCAGCGTCTGTCCTAGCAACCAGGTGCAGTGGGCGTTTACTAGCAATCCCTGGGGCTGCATGTGTATGTATCGGGTTGCAGAGGTGCAGCTTGTCTTGAGTACGCATTTGAGAGTCTAGAAAATGAGGATCTGCCCCCAGCTTTGCCTCTTGTTTTCTGGGAGATTTTTAAGAAATCTTAATTTCTGTGTTTCTACTACTCAGCAAAATCCAGTTACTACTGCTTCATGTAGTTATGGTTATGAGACGCCTATTGTTTGAGCCTTAGTCTGTTTGTAAGGCCCTGGGTGAAATGCAAAAAGAGAAAAATAGTATGTGCAAGATATCATTTGATAAGTGTCCATTTCTCCCACCCACTAATTCTCTAGGAGGTCATATAGGGGAAATGCTAGATGTCAATACACTAAGTTCATGTTCTCCAAAGTCAAAGAATGAATTCTAAGGAATGGTGGAGGTTAAGAGTAGGAAAACTCGTTGGAGAAAAGAAATGGGCAATAGGATGGGGGAATGGGGAATAGGAACAGCTCCTGAGAGAGAGGGGTCCCAAATGGATGGCCAACAAGCCTACTTCTCAAAGGAAGTTTTATAGCACAAAATCATGAGGTAGATGCAATGTGGGTCAAAATTATAATCAACCAATAAGATTGCAGGTACAGTTACTTAGGTAACATTGATGTAATGGTAGCCAGGGTACATGGGTGACATCATTAATCTTGGTCAGTAATCTGTAGCCTTAGTCTTATCTTTATTATTGTTATTTTTTAAATTTATTTTAAAGAGTAAAAGAAGGATAACATAATAATGGGGGACGCTTAGCAAATTACCGACAAAGTGGTAGGAAATTATCAGTGGTTATTGTTTTACATATTGTTATCTACAAGATAGTTTCTCAGGAAAACAAATAGACATATAATAGTGAGTTACAAACAAAAGAGGCAGGAGATTATCAATAGTTGTATTATACTTTGGTATCTTCAAAGTGGCTTCTAAAGAAAATAAATAGAGCTATACATGAGTGACCTATTGAATAATCATTAACTTTTCTCAATGGTTGTTGTAGGAAACATAATAATAGACATGCATCCATTTATGAAATAGGATAGGAACAATACAAACATTGCAGAGTTATGGATAGATTAGTAAGAAAATATTAATGGCTGCTGCAATACATGGTGGTATCTTCAAAGTGGTTTCTCAGGAAGACAGACATATGCAAGAGGGATCTAACAAGTAGTTACAGCCTAAGAATTGTCAAAAATCAAGTGAACCATCTGGGGCGAAAGCCATTTTTTGTAGCGTTTTCTCTCCAGCCTCCCATCGCATTGGGACCCCACAACTGGTTAGTGTCCTCTCCCCAACTGTCAGCACAGGCAGCAGGAATCCTGCTGCAGACTTCTCTGGAGCTCCACCACAGCCAGTACTGTCAGGGGAAGAATGGCTTCCAGGGAGTCTCCGCAGGTATTGTGCAAGGTCCTCCTGGTTTACAGCTTCCGAGCGGCTCTCATGACCCCAGTCCACAGGACCTCTGACTCCTCGGGCTTAGTCTGCATTCTCATGTTCTCCAAGTCCTTGTTCAGCAGCTGCTCGTCCGCTGACTCTGGACCTTTTCTGGTTCTCAGTAGCAGGAGCAAGAGTGACCCGTTGCATGGCATGTATTCCCGGGGGTTTCTCCATGTTTGAATGATTCACACACGTTTGTGGGTGGGCATCTGCAGCCGGTGCATGGTGGGCCAATTGTGTCATTGTTTCTCTGTGTCATGGTTGTTCTCAATTGAGCGGTGGCAGCTGGCCTCATGGCCGGCATGCAACAGCGCTCGCTGCCGCGTGGCTCCCCCTGCACCAGGGGCCCTCCCTCCGGGGGCCTACGAGGCAGGAAGTGAGCTGCTGGTCGGAATACTGGTGCTGCCCTCCCGTGGCTCCCCGTGCGCCGGGGCCCTCCTTCTGGGTGCCTACAAGGCAGGGACCCAGCTGGTCAGAAGACGGGTGCTCCCCGCCTGTGTCTCCCCATGTGCCGGAGGCCCTCCTCCCGGGTGCCTACGAGGCAGGGAGTGAGCCAGCCCGAAGACCGGTGCTCCCTGCCCGTGGCTCCCCGTGTGCCGGAGGCCCTCCTCCCGGGTGCCTATGAGTCAGGGAGCAAGCCAGTCCGAAGACCAGCACTCCCCGCCTGTGGCTCCCCGTGTGCCTCCTTCCAGGCACCTACGAGGCAGGGCTTATCTTTAGTTTTAGTAGTCTTAGTCTTAGTGGTTTTAGTCTTAATCTTAGCAGGTGGCAGAGGATGGTCTACCCCAAATGAAACAATGGGAAATCTCAAAAGGGCCATACCAGTAATCTCAAGCCTCGGTTTATCCCTTAGGGAAGCATGGAAGTATGTGACTTTGATCTTCAGATGCACCTCCAGCCACAGGCCTGATGCATTCTCATCTCTTGCACTCACTCCCTGGAGGGCTTAGCCCTCTCTGACTGTCTACTATATTTCTG